TAGTAGCAGTGGCACCAACATTGTACATACCTTAACAAATGTGTTTTACCCAATAGTCCCACACTATTCTTGGATGTTCTTTGAAAGAGAAGACACCTGATTAAAATCCAATGCACCTTGACTTGTTGCCTGATAGCATTCACGTTTCAGGAACTCTAGACCTGGGACCTAGGAATAGTAAATAAACACTTGTATTTTAATATATTCTAAATAATAGGACTAATGAGGTAACCTAGGAGTTAAGAGTACAGACTGGGAGTGAATAGATTTAGATACTAGTCCCACTGACTGGCTCATTATGTGACCTTAGTCAAATCAATTTTACAATGCCTCTATGTCTCCATCTGTAAAATGGAGATAATGTATCATTAATTCAAATGAGGCAGAGGAAATATAATAAGATTTTTCAACATAAGCCATCTGTGAATGAAGAAGCAGCATGTAGGCTGGGAAGCAAACAGTATGCAGTCTTCTATTGCTTATGATCTTTTTTTAGACTGAGTGCCTGTGTGTGTTAAAGATACTAGCTGCAGAAAAGGACAGTGGGCAGATAATTAAAGCTAATCAAGGCAGAGAGTACAGATAACCAAGGTTTTATCTGAAGTGTATGGTGTTCCAGGTCCTCAGAACCAAAAAAGATCCAATAAGGGGATTTAGCTATACAGCATTCAGCAATAACAGCATTCTTCAGACCCGGTATTTGTAAAAAAGTATAATGTCTGACCTATTTGGAGAGCAAATTTCAACCTTTCCCAACTCAGATGTGTAACACAGGCTTTTAAGGTGCATAACAAAGATCAAGAAAGGGAGAGACACAACAGAAAGGAATAGAGGAGGAGCTATGAAATGATGTGATAGTAATTACTTTATTGATTTGTAGCTTCAGATTGAGTATTTATGATGTCAACTATGTACAATAATGAAAAGTGGGATCAAGCCAGGTTTGTGTGAAATGAATGTAAATGTGTACTTTAAATGATTCTTTCAAAATGAGGAACAGTTAAGAAGTGTAAGCACTGACTTGAATCATGCTGCTTGAAAATCTCTTTTACAAGGATCATAAGGGAAGGCAGACCTCCGGAAAGGACATATGTCAGCAGCTATGTGGATTGTGTTGCAAAACCAGGTGGTGCTCCATTCAAAGAATTTTCTAAAAAAAGATGGCATGGAACGGGCCCATCCAAGTGCCTCAATTTGACTGTGCTTTAGAATTCTTGAAAGAAGAGTCAAGACTTTAAAGAGACACTGTGAGGTTAAAAATATTTTAATAAAATCTAATTTCTTTACCTCTATTATTAAAACCTTATGTTATTAAAATGGAAACAATTTTATAATCTGACTCAATTTGCACAATTAGCACTGTTCACTCTTTTCATTCAGCTCAGATAAAGACAATAAAATAAACTAGTTATTTTCACTTTCAGGTATAGTCAATTTCATATTTTTGTTCCCATGCATTAGCTAGCACACTTCAGCAACATACAGATTGCAAACACTATAGAGGAATGTGTCTACATTTTTTAAAAATGCTGTTTTAATTGGAATTTAAAAGAATATGTAAATATTTGTTTTTGCTAGGTTTTTTGAAATCTCAGTTCTCAAAGTACTTACATTTTAGGCTTAAATCAACTTTATAGGATCCCCTTAATTTCTTTATTGTACTTTAGAATATAAAAAGAAAGCAGGATCCAATCCTTCTACAATTAATGCAAAATAAAATATGAAAAATGTAGCACACAGTGGGACAGTGTAGTCCTTCCTCTGCCCCTCTAAAGGCTAAAGACTCAATAAGATAAGATTATTTCCTGCCTTGATTATCCAGTACCCCTTTCTCCAGCCTTCTTGCTCTTATTGGTATCTCTCTCTCCTCCAGGTAATCAAAATGCTGTCATGGAGATCATTTTCCTTTCCTGACACTCTGACAGTGTTTCCTCAGATCTCTCTAATAGCGTGGTTCCACTCTTCTGCAAAAATTTCAAGTTTCCATCCCACTTTCCATCCCATCTGTAATACACTCCATAAATCCACCCCACCATGATCTCTGTTCTCATTTACACCTCTTCCTCCTCTCTGCTTTGTCCATGCTTCTTTCCTGACGATTATTTTTGTCTCTTACCCACTCACAACTTCATACTTCTTTTCATGTGGCATTGTATGCCTAAGTCTGTCTCTTTCTCAATATACCCCAATCTTTTCTCCTTAAAAAAACAAACTTCTAATGGCCACAACACAGTTTGTACTCATTCTATACTGTATGGCATCAGCCTGTGCATTTAGTAAATCAGGGTAGAGATTTTGTTACTAGTGTGGCCCAGTTCACATTCTGTGCAGCACGGTGTACTTTTATGATGGAATATTCATTATGATATGATTTAAATACTACTTAAAAATCAAATGAGATCATGGCAAGAGTGTTGCTTCAAAAGTAGCTCTGTCAGACTCCTGTTTAACCTAGACAGACCAAAATTCCAACTAATACCTTTTCAGATTTGTACTGTGTCCAACAAATATCAAGAGCTAACATTTGGCATTTCACTGAATGCTAACTAAATGGATTAACTGCATCTCTAGAAGAATCAGAAAGACTGTGGTAATTTTAATGTAAGAGAGTTTATTCTATCCTGATGCTGCTACTCTTGGTCAGAGCAACAACAAATTGAGTTTAAATAATCATCTATATAATATATATAAAAGTGATTATTACATTATTTCAGGGCTAGAAGAAAGTAACTAGTTTGTAATACCTTATTATACAATAATCACTGATAAAGTTTTCAGGTGACACAAAAATTGAGGAAGTGTTAAAAAATGAAGAGGACAGACACTGATACAGAGCAATCTGGATCACTTGGTAAACAGGGTGCAAGCAAATAAGATTAATTTTAATACAATAAATGTAAATGTGTACATCTAGAAGAAAATGTACGCCATGCTTACAGGATGTTGGCCTCTCTTCTGAGAAGCAATGATTCTGAAAAGATTTAGGGGTTGTGAACATGAGCTCCTAGTGAAATACTGGGGCCAAAATGGGTAATGTGAACCTTGGATGCAAAAATTGGGGAATCTCGAGTAGGAGTAAAGGTTATTTTACCTCTGTATTTGGCACTGGTATGACTGCTGCTGGAATATTGTGACCTGTTCTGGTGTCCACAATTCAAGAAGGATATTGATAGATTGGAGAGGGTTCAGAGAAGAACCACAAGAAAGATTAAAGGATTAGAAAATGTGCCTTATAGTGAGAGACTCAAGGTAATCCATCTGTTTACCTTAACAAACACAAAGGTAAGAGTGAATTGATTATAGTTTGTAAGTATCTATATGGGGAACAAATATTTGATAAATGATATCTTCAGCCTAACAGAGAAAGGTATAACTCGATCCAAGGGCTGGACGTTGAAGCAAGACAAATTCAGACTGGAAATAAGGCATACATTTTTAAGAGTGACGTTAATTAACCATTAGAACAATATACCAAGGGTTGGGGTAGATTCTCCATTACTGGCATTTTTAAATCTAGATTGGATGTTTTTTCGCAAAGATCTGCTCTTGGCATTATTTTGGGGAAATTCTGTGACCTGTGTTATACAGGGGGTCAAACTAGATGATCACAATGGTCCCTTCTGGTCCTGGAATCTATGAACCTATAAATGTACGTATCACATGACTGCAGACCCTGCAACAAAAATATTTCAGCACCTTCAGTGAAGTAATACTTGCCCTTCCCTGTACTCAGTGTGTCTCCTTCTCTACAGCAGCAGCAGCAGCAGCAGAAGATGCCAGCAATTATCTGGGGTCCCAGCACTTCTTTGGATCAGTGTTCTGGAGGCTCCCTTGTGGCTCCCTCTTAGATATTACACCCCTTTGCTCTTGGGCCACCGAAGCTTTGTAGGATTCCTTATATCTCAGTTCCTGATAGTACCTCTATTAGCACAATAGCTTGACCTCTCAGAGGGCTTAGAAACCATTGCAGTGTCCCTGTTGGCCCAGCAGAGAGAGGGGATCCCCCTCTTCAGAAACAGCAGTTCCCTGCTCCCTTCCTTGCTGTCTGGTTAAGATTTATTTTGCTTAGCTAGGCACAGTGGTTCTCCGCCTCAGCTACTTCTCAAGCCCACTTGAGTCCCATTTCATCCAATGAAGCATCAACTGTCCTATCCGAACAGCCATGGAACTGTGAACTCCAGCATTCCATCTAGCCATGGTAAAATGGGGCTGCACTAAGAAAAGGGGATTTAATTCCCCTGTTAAAATTTCTTCTGCTCTTTCTACTAATTTGGCTCCAGGAAGAAATTACATAATGGATAAGCCAATTATCAGAGTTTTGTAACAGGGATTTAATTTAAAATCCAGTGAAGTCAAAGGGCAAGGATTTTTGGCTCTTTTAAGGCAAGAGAGTAGTGTATATGAACCTCTCAAACAGATGGATCCAAAAATGGGTACTCAAAATTTCAGAAACATAGGAAGCATTCAGGAGATTTTCATCAGAAATTATGTATTCCAGTGTTTCTCAGCGACCTGTGTCTGTCCCTGAGATTTCCCTGACACAGTTTAGGAAGGCAGCAAACCGGTCCCTGGTATCAAAAAGGCTGAGAAACACTGATTATAGACTATAGGAGGAAGTCTGAATTATTGAAGACTGAATTGCTTCTTGTGCAAACTGTGAACCCCAGCTCTCAAAATGGAAGAAAAGAGTTCCTAGAGGATTGTCTAACAATAAAAAATTATTATAGCTATAGGTTTCAGAGTAGCAGCCATGTTAGTCTGTATTTGCAAAAAGAAAAGGAATACTTGTGGAAAATTAGAGACTAACAAATTTATTGGAGCATAAGCTTTTGTGAGCTATAGTTCACCCGATGAAGTGAGCTGTAGCCCACGAAAGCTTATGCTCAAATAAATTTGTTAGTCTCTAAGGTGCCACAAGTACTCCTTTTCTTATTATAGCTATAGATGGTCTCAGTTTACAAAAGAGCAGCTGAACCAGACATCTTTAGTATATAGTTTTATTAAATACAAATCAAATAAAAAACAAAGACACTTGCAAATACATGTACAAGCCTAATGCTATTCCATAGATTACAAGGACCAATTGGGAGCTATACAAGAAAAGAATACCCAATAATATTATAGAGAACTTGACATTAGTGGACCCTTGCTAATTTACACTAACAAGTGGATTGGAAATTACTAGATTTTATAATTTAGCAAGTAAGCAAACAAATAGTAAAAAAGGCAAGAATAATGCATCATACAATGTACATTTTTCAACTGTTTGATAAAAAAGTTTGATTTTGTTTGTAATACTTCACAGTATACTAGTAAACAGATAAATAAGTTTAGAGCGGCTGTGTGATGAAGTAGGTACACTGTGGGGATAGAAGGCCAGGAACTACTGAGTTCTAATCATGCCTCTTCTTCTGACTTGGCATGTGACCTGAGTAAGTCTCATGATTTCCTTTGTTTCAGTTTCCCCATCTGGAAAGTGGGGTTTATATTGTCTTACCACATAAGGATACTGTGAGGATTAAACAGATCAAGTTTATAGAGTCTTTTGAAAATGTGAATGAGAATGATTAAATGTTCCACAGGATAGTTTGTAAAAGCAATGGATCTTTTTAATGAGAATCCTCATTTCAGCACTTCTGTTTTAAATTCTTGCTAAGAAGTGGAGAGAGCGTGCTGCTTTTTTGTGTGAGAGAGAAAATTACGTGGTGTCCTGAATAGCAAAATCTAGCAAAGCTCAACAATAATACTTAGAAAATATTGGATATATTCTTCTAGTTGTAGATATGGTCAAGTCTTTTTCACTAGCATTAATTGGAATTTCTTACATAAAGTATTACTGATTTGGTTTTTGCTTCTATAAAATTAAATTAAAAAATAGATACCCATTATGTATATTGATCTGAGGGTAGCACTTAATGTAAATGATACATCATCAATGCTGCCTTTCCTTTAGAACTAAGACAAAGTAGGGAAGCCTTCTAAACTGTCTCCTGTTTGTTCCCACACCAGAGACACTGAAAATAACAGAAAGGAGTGACCAATGTCAGAAAGCACAAAATTAGTTTTTGCTCGTGGTCTGTTTCTTTGTCAGTGATCCCTCATTCATTCTTGGTGGTAAGCATTCTGACACAATATAAATGTCAGGTTTAAAGTGTCAGTCAAAAACTGAAGGATTGTAAGTCAATCTAAATAAAAAACCCCTCCTGTCCACTTAACTTCTGATAAAATGGATCCATAAACACCTAAATTACATAGGGACATATAGCATACACAGACCTCAGGTCATTAGCTAAAAATCTATATGTTATATATACCATTAAGCAAAATATTATAAAAATCAGTAAAATGAGTTTGATAAAAATGACCCCAATCTCAAAGAGTAGAGACTTACAAAAAAAGTCTGTAGAGATTTTATCTAGAGAAGGTAAAGGGAAAAACCTAAGATTTATTTCCAGAAGTAAAAAGATAATACTGTTGACCAATCAGAAAAAAAATATGTTTGCTAGCATAACTGAGATACACTGAGAAGTGTCTAAGAGTAGATAGAGGGGAGAAAGAGATATCTGGGCAAATGACTATTTGTGTAAGAACAGCAGGCCTATGCAGGCTACCTGCTCACTTACACAAGCCCCATAGAATGCCTAGTTCTATTCTATTTTATTTTATTCAATATAGGCTTTTTATACCATGCTCATCACCACAGTATCTGAGTACTTTCTAGTAGTGCAATAAGCAACATGATTAACATCTATCCTGTTTTTGTTCTCTCAACCTCCCCGCAGGAGGAGAAATGCGTGCACCCAGTAATGTCACTCAAGTTACTAGTGTGGAAAAAGTGTAATACTTACAGGTCTGCATGTCCAACAGTGATGAATTTTATTAACCACCTGTGGAAGAAAACAGAGTCTTCATGCTGAGTTTGTCAGCAACAAGTCAGAGACAATTTATTCATGCAATTGCCGGAAAGACAGAGTGTCTGTCCTTAGGCAAATCTTCAAAGAACAGATAACTTCTTCTTTTTTTCTGGAACAGTCATAGTTCAGCATCATACAGGGGAGAGGTTACCAGCATGTCACCCTGTAATAACTGGGTTCCTCCAGAGATGGTGAATGTATGGTGATTCTGTTAGTGAACAAGGGAGAAGTTACCAGCACTTCTCCTTGTCCTTTTCTCCTGCTGTCCAGAAGGAGGAAAAGTAGTACCATAAGGAGGGACAGGCTGATCAGCAGTCGGAGGGTCATCCTGAGGTGGAGGGGCCTTCTTGCAGTGAGATGCATGAGTGCAGGCAGTTAGTCCTTGGCACTTCACAGTGATGTTGGTAGTTAGCAGAACTTGGTAACAGCCTTTCCAGTGCGGAGCCAGAGCAGTCTTTCGCTGATGGACCTTTATGTAGACCCACTCTCCTGGTTCTAATGAATGACAGGGTTGCTCAGGATCCTTGAGTAGTGCTTCTTTCACCTGTGAATAAAGAGACCGAACACATTTCATCAGTGCCTGGCAGTAATTGAGCATTGTGTCATACATCAGATGAATGTCCATCTGGGCTAGGGCCAGCAGAGGTTCTGCCAGAAGTCGCCTCGGGCACTTTGTCAGGATCTTCTGTGGGCTAAGTCCAGTTTTTCGGTTGGGGGTGACCCTTAATGTTAATGGAAGGGCATCTGGCCATTTCAAGTTTGTTTCTGTACAAATCTTAGCCAGTTTATTCTTCAGGATCCCATTCTGACATTCCACTGTCCCGGCAGACGGCGGGTGGTGGGGACAGTGGAGGTTATGTTGGATCTACAAGGCTGCACATAACTCCTTTACAATCTGTCCAGTAAAATGAGTACCATGATCACTGTTGATACTCACAGGTATGCCAAACCTTGGAATGAAATCCTTAAGCAAAATTTTCAAAACAGACTTGGCGTCTGCCCTTCTGCAGGGGAAGGCTTCAATCCAGCTTGAAAAAACATCAACTAATACTAACACAACATACTCATAGTTACAACATTTAGACATTTGAATAAAATCAATCTGAATATTTACAAAAGGTCCCTAAGGGGTATGCTGCTTTTATTTTTTAAGCTTTAACTGCGTTTCCAATATTATATAACTGGCAGTATTATTCCAATATTATATTGCTTACCCTCCTCCCTCAGTGAGTCTCCAGGGAAGGCAGACAAGCACTGTATGTGGCCAACACTGTTGGAAGCATCGCAAAGCATTTTGGGGGGGGTCAAAGGTGTGTGAGTGGAAAGTGGAAATTTCCTTTGCAGATACGAGAGGCCGAGGGGGGGAAGAGAAGAAGAAGAAAAGAGCAGAGAATGAATGAATTCAACACTGCAGCTAGCAAGCTCTGTCCGAAGATAAGATGCTGGCTGCTGCCCAAGGACACTGCTCACAGCCGAGATTTGGCTGACAGCCGAGAAAGACGAGGGCTTGAATGTGACCGAAAGAAATCCAGCTGCACAGGCCTGCAAAATAGCAAGGCCAGCAGGAAGGAGAACAGCAGATCTAAGACTACCAAAGATGGAAAACACAAACTACCAGGCAAATTAAAATTAGGTACATACCAGTCTCGTACCAGTCTCATTAACTGCAGCAGTCATCCCCTCTTTGCTCACGTGTGCCATCCAGTGGTGCACGCGAGCAAATAGGGCAAGAGCACCTGAGGCGCAACCAGGCGGCCGTCCAGAGAGTGCCAAAGGTGATCAGGGTGTAAAGTGCACCCAGCAGCACTCCAAGAACATTCTCAGCTTTTGGCACACCCTCTGTCACGTATATTAAAACCTTAGTATTTCCTGATAGTATCCAAAACACTTTGTATTCCAAGCTGGATAAAGCAAGTATCTGCATTTAGCTCTAACCCTTCCATTTGGTTTTGAACTAGGCTGTCCTGTAGAAAATTAAACAACAATTCTAGCCACAAGACAAAACACCACAAGAACACAGAACACAATTTCTATTGTGCCAGTAAAGCATGGTTTGTTGGATTGCTCTTTAGCTGGCATTAGCTTTCTCTAATTTTCTGAAAGACAAAAACATTTTTCTACCCCTTCTGGGGCAATTGGTCATTGTTTAAAATATTTCTTTCTTATACAAATACCCTTGTTGGTTGCGGGCAAAACAGAGGAATTACCCCATATTTTTCTGTGTTTCTTTCATAGGCAGGCTAGGTTTCGGTGGCTTCTACCTTTATCAGTTAGGTAATTTGCATTAACACAGATGCTTTCTGGTTTGCTTTGGATCCAGAGTCATTCATAGGTTAACAACTTTTACGTAAAAGGGACACAATTAACTTTTACCAGAGATTTGATTGCCTGTTACCTTTAACTCCTGTTTTCAAAACACACAGTAATCCGAAAAGGAAAACACCACCTATTGTAGCCCCTTGGAGTCTAATAGGATTTTAATTAAGTAGCATTGCATATTTGCATTTTCCTCACCCCTTTTACAATATACACTATACGTGTTCTTTTCCTTGACATTCCTTTCATATATTTTGGGTGGTTAAATTCCAACAGACACTCCATATGTTTTCTCTACTCCGACTAAAATGTTCATAGCCAACTGATTTCAGTCAAATCTTTTTGCCTGGATTTATTTAGACGTTTCTTTGGGAAAAGGGCCCATTTTTCCTTCAGAATGGCTGCAAAGAAACCAAGAATTCTTTTTCTTTAGCATTTTTACAAAATTCAACTGATAACTCTATAGTTGCTGGAGGGAATTAATTTCTCACTTTCTTTCCTTAAATCACTTGCTTATTTTCCCAACGACACCCCAATCAACTCAAATTTTACCATTCCAACTATTGTTCCAGGGATTTCAATTTCCCATGCCTGTGATTACTTACTCCTTTCCTTCCACTATGCCCTCAAAGTTTCCAACCTGTTTTCCAATCTCTCTATCTGTTGCCTGCCTGCTTGCCTGGGCCTGATCCTCCTTTTCTCGTTGAACCGTTTCTTTCCATGGTCACAGGCTTTGTTCCACTACCAATTTAGCAAGGAGGGTGGGCTTTTCAACTAGTCCCCACCCCTCCTGGTCTTGTCCTTAAACATTCTCACTCACAAGGCTACTTGAGTCCTCCGCCATGAGGCTTGCCACCTGGACAGAATGCATGGCCAATTGGCATTTTAACTGTTCAGTTTTCTCTAGCGGTCAGATACACATCTCTTCCCTTTTCCCCAACTCCTCTTATTGCCCAGTCCTGCTACCACTGGGGGTAGACCGACCTGCAACCTTTTTTCAAACTCGCAACATGCTGCTATGGCTGGCCAGGCCCGGGCGTAGGAGAGAGAGAGAGAGGTGGATCTGGGAGGTTATCCTGTGCACAGGTTGTCCAGAGGTACACTGCAAAAAAAAGAAGTCTCCAACTTGCTTCCGCTCTTCAGAGGGTTTTTCGCCCTGGGGTCTCTTGGCGCATTCCTTTCAGAGATTTTTGCTCAGTATTCTAGTCCAGGCCGGCTGCCTGTGGCTCCTTCAGCGTCCCCAAACCACACCTGTTCCAGGGTTGCAAAGGCAGACTGTTGGGTCTCACTGGGTCGCCAACCTTTGCAAATGTAATCTCAGTCCGGCAACTTGTGTTGCCTTTGTTTTGCCTCTGTCTATATTTTTCACAGCCAGCTGGGGCTGAAAGCAGTTTTTTGTTGTTGTTGTTTTTTTGTACTTGGCATAGTCTGTGTTGATTCTTGACCTTGAACGCAGAGCAGCTTTCTCTTTATCTCTAGGCCAAGCTGACTTTTCAAATTAACCCATTTCTTTCCCTCTTCACTTTCAGCCTTAACTAATTGGGGATATAAAGGAGCCAAGGGAATTGATGCAGTAGTTCAGGTAGGGAGGCATCTGGATGCTTTATGTTGTTTTTTTAAATCCTGCACTTGAGTTTTTAATTTTGCCTGGGAGTCCTTCAGACTCCACACTCAAGACTCATAGAGTCTCTTTGTGGCTTCATCTGAGATGTATGATTTTATCTAGATCAAAGGTACCTTCTAGTGGGAACTGTTTAGATGGATTATCACCCGTGTAAAAATTTAAATTCTCTAAATACCTGCAGGTCCTAGGACCATAATGCATGTACATGTAGTATGCAGGGGTGCCCTTCGGTGGTGTAGGGGTATTCTTAGACTATCCCCCACCCATTTTCCAATCACACAGGAGTGTCCTGTCCACTGAGTCAGTGGCTCATAAGCTAAAGAAGGGTTTCACACACTCCGGGGAAAGGTGCCCTGTCCGCTGAGTCAGCAGCTCATAAGTAAGGGAAAGTTCCTATCCACTGGGTCACAAGGTTCAGCTGACCCCCCCTTGCTTTCAGAACTCCCACATGGGGTAGCCTTGGTGCGGCTGGAGTCAGCTTAAGCCTTAGACCTGGTCAGCGGCTTATACCCCCCCTTCATTCACTCATACTCACTCTCATTCATTTCTCATACCTAGATGCATCTCATTTACAATAATTCCCAAAGTCCAGACTTAATAAAACCTTTCCCTTGTTTGGGGCAACGAAACCCCTCAGCGCTGATTAGGTCTGACCTTTTCCATATATGAGGCAACAAAAGTTCCTCTACACAACCAACTAACCTACTTGAGCAGAAAAAAATCCTCAGCACCGCTTTACACTACTAACCTACTTGAGGACGGCAAAAATAAATCCTCAGCACCGTGTATAACTAACCTTATATGAGGGCAGCAAAAGTTCCTCAGCACCACTTTGCATCTGACCTTGTTGCAGATTCAATAAGTTCGCATGGTGTGAGCCCAAAAGGGACAGACGGCTCCACGGGCAGTCCTCCTCCAATATCCCATTAGAGATTTCAAAATGTCTCTTACCTCTTGATTGGCGCCTTGGGGTTTGAAGGGGAACGGTCCGTAGTAGTTGTCGCTTTCTCAGCCGGGCGTTGCTATCCGAGGCACGGCACCAACTTGTAAAAGAAAACAGAGTCTTCACGCTGAGTTTGTCAGCAACAAGTCAGACAAACAAGACAGGCCTGTTTCTTGCTCTGTCTCTCAACCAAACTAAAATAACTGCACACAAATCCTCTTTTTCCTTTTCACACTTCCACACACCCAGAACTTGTTGAGACTCATTATAGTCTCATCTGGCAAACATAAAAATGGAGAGAGAGATCCTGCATTAATGACAGCTATGTAAACAAGCAGCTAAAATCTTTCAAATAGTTCTGGGTCCATGTTTTGTAAGGCTTTGCTGGTGTACACACACGCGACATCACAAGTTGTCTTCTTTTTTACCCAGGGAACAAAAGAGAATTAACTTCAAAATGAATTGTCTTATAAGGCAATGTGGGGGGAAAAACCCTCCCCTTGGATTTCTTCCTTTTTGCATTGCTTATATCTTTGCTATAGGCTAGGGGATAAATTTGTCAGTTCTAGCAATCCTTGGGAGAAGGACTTTGGCTGTGCTGTAATAATTGGGACTGAGCTCTGCAGCATGTATATAACCTATTAGTTTGTTTTAATGAGCCAGATTAATCCCTACTGTAACATCAGTGAAGCCAAATAGGGAAGAATTTAAGACCAATAAGTCTAAAAATGCATCATTCTATAATTCATCTTATTTATTATTTACTATGTTTGAGACATACGTTTTGCAAAGACCTAGCACTCAAGCAAAGTAAACGTAGACATGTTTTTTTCATATATTTGTATGACGAAGAAAAAGATTATTTTGGGGATTGCTCTGTGTTCCCTAGGGTCTGAGTGTATACAGCCACCTTAAAATTTTTTGACAGGGGATCAAGATTGCCTAGGAATTAATTCTGACAGGCCCTCATCACACAATCACAATCTTTCCTGAAATCTCATCCAATATTTTAAAGGTAAGCAGTGATACTGGAATCAAAGTTAGGTGGCATACCATTCTTTGCTATAGAGGTTTGAGAATATTCTTCAGTTCTCTTCTTATCAATCTCTTATCAATTTGATGATATAGGTATATAAGTTATTAGGGTAGAATTTACTAGCACAAATATTTGTGGAAAGTTGAATGTCAAAACAAACTTCAGTATTCACACCAGAAGTGCCTGTGTTTTCTTATGCAATCAGGGAAGAGAAACAATACCATGTGATCTATCTGATCAATCACAACTAAGCAACACAGCTCAAATTCAGAATATTTGCGATCAATCCATATAGTAACAAATTTTGAAAATCTATTAATAGAATACTTTTGAATAACAGATACAGTATATTGAAGAAACCTGATACCTGCTTATGGATGTTTTGCAAGCAGAAAGAGGATCAATTTGTCAAATACGTTGTTTGCTGTGAAATTTTTACTTTGCTCTAGTTTCAAGCAAGCAGAATACTTTCTTTATTCTAGGGTGGGGGTTTTTGCATCTAAAGAAAGAAAGAAAAATGATATTATAGAAAATTCTGTGTCAAGATAAAAGGTTTTACTGAAAAATCAGATAATTACTCCGAACCCAAGATCTGAGAGAGCAATGACTCAGTTATTTTTATATATATTCTGTAGATCATATCATTGCTCAAAGATAGCAGAAGCTTAATAGTACTTTTACCTTTTGTATTTTTTCTTGATTTTACAGAACAAAGAAAAATATAACCAAAATAAAGACGACAGATGAAGAAATACAATTATCAAGACAATGAAGATGTGTCAGGGAATTATCTGTTTGTTAAATCACTTCTTATCACTAATTATTTGTCCTCTGCTGTTTTCATATTGACTTTACTATGTCATTTTAAATGGCTGTTTTCTGCCCTACACTTTGGACCTGTATTACAGCATTACCACACAAGTTTTCCTACTTTCATTTTCTTTTGATCACTACTTCATGTTAATGTTTTGTTTTTATAATATAATCAACACTATTTTATTAATTGGTGGTCCTTATAAAAGGTGCCATTTCTAAGGAAAAAAAAAAGTCCTCTCTATCTAGGAAGCACAAAAGCTTGTGGTTTATGTGTAGTGGATTCACCTGAGAGAAAGACATTCCTGAGCTCATCCAGAAGACCTTATACCCTCTTTATATCCAAGGCCATCCTGAAGTACCCACCTCTATCATGATACCTATTTAAAACTGACACTGTCACACACTTGATGAATAACTTAGATATAATATCCTACTTATATATTTACTAGCCCAACTGTATATTTGTTGCTTCATTTTATCCTAACAGCTATTTGTTTACTTGTCTATCTTGAGACTCTGAGCTTCTTGATCATGTCTTTATTTGGAAAGCAACTAGCACATTATTGGCACTATAATACTTATATACAGACAGTGCAGCACCTGGTGATACGCATACAACCAATGTGGCATTGGGAGCAGAGGCATTCAGAAGACACATGCAGCGTGCTCTGCTGGGCAGGAGAGTTCCACTAAAATCTGAGCAGTTCACATCATGGAGGAATTTAATCTGAGGGCACATTGGCCGACTCCACAGTCAGCCATCAATAACTATGTTTTGACCCATATGTGTTGCCACTTTCTCTTTTTGGGCTCTTTTTAATGGATTCAAGAGGCCTATGTTTCACTAGTTTAGCAGATAAATGAAGTGGGGGGGGGAGGAGGACAGCTGGTGAATTTCATAATGTACCTTATGGAGTCTTTTGGCAGCTCTTATGATTCCTAATTTATCACTGAATTGGAACACTATGAAAATTAGGGTGAGATGTGTTTTTTAAATAAGAAAGTCAACAAAATGGAGAGAGGGAATAGAGATGCAAAGAACTGTGGCAAGAAAAGAATATCATTTATAAATAGTAGCAAAGAATAAAATTACAGAAAAAAGATTGTAAGAAGGCAAACAAAGGAATTGAACAAGGGCATGTACAGTAGGGAGAAATGAGAAAAGAAAGATGTTTAAGGTGGTACCATTAAATGTGAGAATGAAGGGATAAAGAAAGAGGGTAAATCTGAACACTGAGGCAAAGCAAAAGAGGAGACATTTTTCATAGTTTGGACTGATTGACATGGCATTGATGGACGGTGGCAGACCAGCCTCAGTACTGCACATAAAATAAAGTAAACAGATATGAACATGGGATGATGTCCCTACCCCATCACAAGCTACTATCAGAAGCTGAAGGAGTCTTCATTGAAAAACAGTGTTGAAACTTAGTGACATCCCTCCTTGGGTGGTTGGTCGGCTGCTTAAGTGAGATTTTCTGTACCACATTCATCCTCTTTCTAATGCCATACATATATGTCCACTTAGTGTCAGTGCAGCTGTCTGACTGTGTGATGCACAAGAATCAGGAAAGCGTACCTGCAAGCTCTTTCTTTTTGATGAGCCAGCCATGAACCCTAAAACACTTAGGTAGCTTGCATTGATGTGTGAAACTGGGATATGTGCTTGCAATTATTGAAGACTCTTGAAATGAGCTTGGTACAGGTCACAGCTACTAACTTGTGAAGTGACTGCTACTAACCATATTTACTTCATTCAGTGAGCAATATTATTTAAAGTTAGTTTTAAGGAAAAAAGGAAGTTTCACAGTTGGTAACATACAGCAACAAGCACTACATTGAATAGCTTACTGACTGAAGCATCAGGCTGTCCTCCCCACCCAAATACCGTTCACAATCAGTTAAAAACTTCAAAGGTATTTCTGCTCCCGTATCCATTTAACATATTATTTTCCTTTTGTTAGCACATACAGTGTAGTCTGTGGAAAGAGTACATGCATAAATTGGTATTATTAGCTCATAGGCACCGCAAATTGATGTGTGGTGTGTGAGAGGGAATCAGGATATTGGCCTACTTTTATACTTAAGTTTGCTTCGTATGAAAACTAATTATACCTTCCTGAAAAAAATTGGGAAATGTCCTTCACAGAAAACAGGTGGACACTATGGGCTGTCTCTCTCTCCAGTAAGGGCCTGAGCCAACACCCACTGAAGTTAACAGGAGTCCTGCCATTGGCTTCAGTGGGTGATTGGAGCAGGGCATAAATCCTTTGGCTAAGAACTTCAGCTTACACATCTTCATGTTTTTAGTAGCTGAGTGGCATGGACTGGTGGTACATCAGCCACTGGAGTCTGTGACAAGACTGGCTCCTCCAAAATCCATTGGCTGTTTGCAAGGACATTCTACTATCTAGCAGATGTTTGGGGCAGGTTCCCCCATTTTTTTTTTTTTTAAAGTCTGTTCAGTCAGATGAATGTTTCTCTAGTCAAAAAGTGCATTGCTTTGTATGGCAGTCATTCAGGCTCCATATTGTATAAAATGTAAGATTTGTCCACGTAGCCTGCCTGGATGTAATTTGATTGGTAGGACTGAGCATGCAAGCAATAGTAAGGCCTTTCATTATTTCAGTCAGTGTCCCAACAATCAGCAAGTCCATCCAGTTCTGTATGATCTGATTACAGAAAGCCATCTTAATTGTCAGCAATAGAAGCATATCATACTAGTGAGGTAGTAATGTATATCTCTGTTGAAGAAGGAGGTGTTTACTAAACTGCCCTTCAGCTTTGCAGCACCTTGGGCAATCCCTTTAGACTATAGTAAAGGAAAAATCCCTTACCAATATACATAGCAGCTCCAAAGCTCTGCAAAAAGTCCTACCTCAGTTGTAGGTTTTCCTGCACATTTTCCATAAATTGTGATTTATATTGGTAGAATTCTGAGCTAAATGATTATATTTCAGGATGCCTAGTGTCAAAGGACAATTAAATTAATGGTCTAAACAGCAATTTGTGTTAGGAACTCCGAAGTGAAGACTGAAAATTGATATTAAGATCTTCACTTGCAGATATTCTGGATCTGGTATCTATTCAGACTACAGTTTCATTGCTTATTTAGTTTATTTCTTACATTAGAGATACAATCTGAACATCTTGCAAAATCTGAGGATTAATGGCCAAGGTATGATGCTTTGGTGGGTACCTGGAATAGATGCTAGTATGATACAGAGGTCTAAACAATCACAGCAACAGATACATATCTGTACTGGAGTGTCTTTGCTCTTCACATCCTAGTGAGGTCCCACACAGATTGATTCTTGGCCCTATGCTATTCAATAGTTTTATCAATGACTTGGAAGAAAACATAAAATCATCACTGATAAAGTTTGCAGATGACAAAAGGATTGTGGGAATGGTAAATAATGAAGAAGACAGGTCACTGATACAGAGTGATCTAGGATTGCTTGGTAAACTGGGTGCAAGCAAATAATATGGCCAAATGTAAATGTATACATCTAGGAACAAAGAATGCAGGCCATACTTATAGGATGGTGTACTCTATCCTGGGAAGAGGTGACTTTGAAAAAGGTTTGGGGAACATGGTGGAGAATCAGCTGAACATGAGTTTCCGTGTAATGCTCAAAAAGAACAGGCATACTTGTGGCAGCTTAGAGACTAACAAATTTATTAGAGCATAAGCTTTCATGGGCTACAGCCCACTTCATCGGATTCGGATACAGTGTAATTCTGTAGCCAAAAGGGCTAATGTTGTCTTGGATACAGAAACTGGGAAATTTTGAGTAGGAGTAAAGAGGTTATTTTACCTCTGTATTTGGGAAAGTGTGACTGCTGGTGGAGTGCTATGTCCAGTTCTGGTGTCCACAATCCAAGAAGGCTGTTGATAAAGTGGAGAAGGCTCAGATAAGAGCCATGAGAATGATTAAAGGATTAGAAAACATGCTGTATAATGATAGACTCAAGGAATTCAATCTGTTTAGCTTAACAAAGAGAAGGTTAAGGGGTGACTTGATTCTAGTCTGCAAGTACCTGCATGGGGTACTGTGTAATGCTAGATTAATGGTATTGCTGTATCACCTTTATAAGTCAAAGGAGTAATGTGGCTTATTTCCATCATGGCTGTTGTGATTTTAATCCCTTTAGTAGTGATCAGACTATTGAGTAAGTAGCTGCGGACATAACTTGTTATTTGAAGAGCTCTTGCCTATGAGAAGACCTGCACTGGGAGAGAGCGTGCTTCCTGCATGTTTAATGGGATTCTGGCAGCAGAAACTCATGATTGTTACTGAGGAAGAGAAGGGTTTAGAAATGGGCCTGCCCTCTCTTCCCTGAATAGCTTTCCCCACTCAAGTGGTGTTGCTGTCATTTAAATTGTTTCATATCTGTCTGTATCTGGTCTATTTGCTGTTAAGGTTTAGTACTAGCTGAAGGTAAGTATTGTTCTATAGAGGAAACTGAATAAACAGGCTGAATATGGCTGCTGCTGAGCATAGTTGTAAACTCTCACAGTGATGGGGGTGATACGATTTGTGCAGCTTGTAGTGTCCTCCCAGCTAGGCTGGCTTTTTAAAAAATGCTTTTCTATTATTTTTCCACATCTCTCATTTCAGTTCTAATTCCTGGTCCACTCCAGACAAAAAAGGTGTCAGTCTCATAGAAACAGTTGCA